TGAAATCTTTCCCTGTATATCCACAGAATCAGAATCAGAAAGAAGATTCTAGTTTTGTCCAATAGATGTGGCCTAGAAAAATACTGCATTCTAGCATCGAGAATCAAGACATTAGAAACTGGCTTAGAAGATGTGCACAATAATCCACCCTCCTTGTTTCAGAAAGGGATTCATTCTACCAGTACCCAAATGAAGACCAGGTGAGGCCAAGGATAACCCATATACTTTCTCTCATGGCAAATTCCGTCTCTGGCTAGATCTTGGGTAGAGTACTCTTCATTCAGGATAAGTAAAAACTAAAAGCCCACCTCAGTAGTTAGGCAAAATACAATGCAGCATAAGAGAAAAAGAACATTTCTCTATGGACTCAAAAATAATAATGATCAAAATTAGAAGAAAATTTTAGAAAAATTTATGGTCTCTTCAATAGGATTTAAGATAATTGTGACTGTTTAAACAGAAGCAGAAAACCACGAGAGAGAAAAAAAGGTTAAAAAAGAACAGAAGGAGATTCAATGACAAATTGGCCAAATAAAAAATGCAACAGTAGAATTAAGTCCAAATGGGAGATGGGAAAAGCATGACTGTCATTGTAGAACTTATAAATCAAAATCACATGGGGTGATGAATCTCCAATTGGAATCCAAGGATACTAGATAGAAGTGGGGTAGGTGCCAAATGAACTGCTCTAAGCAGTATGGAATTTTAAATTATTTAAAAATCTGATGCTAATCTAAAGGAAATACAAACATTCTAGATCATATGAATGAACTTATCACTGAGAACCAAAGTTTTATTTCAGGCCTTACATTTGTGAAATGGCTAAAATTGGTGTCAAGCAGTATTACTTTAACTGTACCAGCCTAAGAAAACGTATCTGTCATACATTCTGATCAAATCATGATGCACTGTAGGAATAAAGGTTTGCAATAGATAAGACAGAGAAAATTGGTGGGAGAACAGGTTATTACAAGGCACTTAGTAGTATAGTAACACTAAATGAAGAAAAAAAAAACCCTGACCAGATAGCAGTCTACCAACAGTAATTTAATTTCAGCAAACAGCTTATCTGTCTAAATTAATTTTAACTCAAGTTTCACTGGTTTTGTAGTTCTTTGGTTTGGTTGTATAGTTAGTTGGTTAAAAGCATTAAGAGTTTACAGCTGGCTTTATGTTCAAATATATTAAAGTAATATTATAATACAGAACTATAATATGAATGAACATTAGAATTTTGGGGATTTTCTTCCCTTTTAAAAGGATCACAATTTAATGGAAACAAATATGTAATAGAAAAAATAACACGATCACAAATATTAAGAAAGTCTGTAAAACACCACTCAATATTTATAAATACAAAATATAGTTTTTCAATCTTTTAAGATGGTGAGATAGAATTCTCATTCTAACAAAATGAGGACTAGGTTGTATATATTCTTTTGGATTTATGGTATTTTTAATTAGAAATGAATTTTAGAAGGACATTAAAAAAATGAAATAGTAAGAAACATCATGTTTTGGATTATATCCTGGCAAGGAAAACCATTTGAAAAGAGTGCTTTTGGGACAACTGGGGAATTTCAATATGGAATGGATAAGTACAAAGGAATTATTAAATTCCAGGACTATAATAGAATTCAGACACTGGATCCTTTCAATCCAGGCTGAAAGGAACTCAAAGTGCTGTTGAATCTAATCCATATCTAATGTTTGAATCCCTTCTACAGTAACGGGTTACTTCCCTATCTTCTAACAGGGAATTCCCCACCTCCTGACAGTCAATTCCAAATCAGCCCACCTATATTAGGGTTTCTTGATGAACAATAAGTTAAAACAAACAAACAAAGAATTAAAAACACATTGAGTCCATATAAAGAGTAGCAGAGCTATTTAGCAAATACGGTTCTCTAGTCGCCAGGCTAAGGAGGGAAAATCTTGTAACTACGTCTACTGAAATGTGGAACTGTGTCAAATGGCTAATTAAAAGAAAGCAAACAAACCTGTAAATAGGAATGTTCCTGATATGCATTTTGGATAAGATTCCCTTTCTAAAAGTACACAAATGCCCAGTATTTACTGGAGTGCCCTTCTACAACTCTTTCTGAATTTCATTCCTGAATAACCATATAACGCACATTCCTGCTCAACTGTTACTTGAAAATGAATGTACTTACCTCCTGGGCATCTCTTGCTGCCTTTGCATCATCCTCATTGTAGCGGTTACAGTTGTACCTTAAGGTAAATAAAGCAATGAAAAGGGAACAAACCAGAGTTTTAGCCTACATTTAGAGATTATCTAGATGCAAAATCCTCCTTTACAGACACAGTGAGGCGTTAGAACCCAGGATCCCACCATTATGACAGAATTACCAGACTGAAATAACTGTTTTTACCTTGTTGAATCTAATCCACACTTAGTGTCTGAATCTTCTCTACAATAGTGTATCAGTTCTCTGCTCACCTCTCTAGGTAGTTCATTCCAAAAATCACCTCACCAGAATCTTTGGAAAACACTGTCATTCTAGAACTCCATTTACTGACTGTATTTTGAACTTCTAACTCCATTTTTGAAGAAAGAAATCACCTTATCTTTTATGTTGTTATTTAGGCCGAATACTACCAAGTTCTCCAGAGTTACTTACCTTTTTTATAAACCAAACAGAACCAGCAGTGACAGACCACTAGGTAATAGATGCCATGCTATATGCTTTACATGTTAGTACAATTTAAAGGAGTCACTGAAAACTGAATGATAAGAAAATTTATCAGGAGGAAGGGGAAGTCAGGTCATAGTGGAAATAAATAAGACTGGCACCTCCCTTGTGCTGATTACTTTTCCTTTCTGGTAGCAACTGTATAGCTAAATGCCTACTACATACGACCCACTTACTAAGGGCTTTAAATGTACTTTAATCCCCTCAACCACCTTATGAAATGTATTATTATTATCCACATTGAGCAGAGGAAGGGTTAGAATTTGACAAGTAACATACTGAAGATCACATAACAAGTTAAATCTTGGTAAACTGGACGCCTTGTTCCAGATTGTTAAATTCTTTAGGATTTCAGTGGTCCTTATAGCCAATATCTTTCTTTGATATAACCCCAAATTGTATGCCAGATTCTCATATTAGTTCAAGAAAGTGATCGATAAAACTGATCAAAAAAGTTGTTTATAGTTTATGTGAATACAAAAGATGAGGACAAAATATTAAGAGGATTCTATTAGGAAGACACAAATATATTACCTGTATTCTAAGAAATGGTCATCCAATTAATCCCAAATATCCCTGTCTATACTCATAGTCTACACCACAAACTTCTCAGTACACACTGAAATACCTTGCTGAGATCTAAGAAACACTTCCCAATCCATCACCCAAATAATACCATTTGATTCTGGGATTTCACATTAGAGAAAAATTAAGTTATGTGGTTCTTATGTAGTTTGTGAAAACAATCACAAATTTTGGAAATCTGGGATTACATTTTGTCTGCTATCAGTCTTTGGTACCTCTCTATTTTCCGTAATTGTTTAGAAATAACCAAAAATAGCTCACTGATCTCATCTTTGGGTTTTTAAAGTAACCCAGACAACAATTAGTCTGAGTCAGACTATTAATTTCCCCCAACACCATCTTGGGTTATAATCCTCTCTTATCAATAATTTACTCTACCCAGATTAGCACAAAGATTGCCTCTCCTTGTCCTCTACTAGTCAACTTTTAACACCTCTACTTCCTATCTGCTATAATCTTAAAAATTTTCCTTTTGACATTTTTAAAATATTTATAAGCCTCAAGCATTCTGCACTTTACTTGCCAACATTATTAAGGATTTTAAGGCCAGGAGAGCAAACCTGATTCATCTATACTTCTAGCTCAGATGACAGACAGTACTACTTGGAATACTATTTGGAGGATTCTGAGGCATTTTCAGATTTAAACAAGAAAGCATAGCATTATTCATTTGCAGTGTTAGCTATGGGTAAAGGCAAGATACAATCAACATTTCTGGACCCCTGGTCCAGGCCATTCTTCATTCTTTCGTATCCATCATTTATTTTATACCCTTTTCAGTTTTCAACACAGCTCACTTAAGATATTCAGTTGCAATTGGAGATTTTCTGACACACAGAAAACATACCTTTTTAAATAACTCTTCTTCCCCGTTTCCTCTCCCCTTCACTAGGCTTGTTTAAGCATACTAGAGTGAATTTAGTTTCTGGGAAAACTCTAATCCTTCAGTCTGCCTTCTTAAAATTTATAGTACCTGTTTGGCTAAAGCCCAAACACCCCTTCCTTGACTGACAGTGGCAAAATCACTTTCTTTACTTCCACTTAACCAATTAGTTTTTACCTGGCTCAGAATTAATTTCAGACAAGTAATCCCTCTTACTATTCCTCTAATTAAACTGATGAAAGTTCTAATGAAACTAAAAGAGAAGATTTGCCATTGGTTTAAGATCCAATCCTCTTCATCTTGTCTTGAACCACAATGTCTTCCCCTGTCATCCACTCTCTACAAAGCAGCCACAATTATGAGATAATGTATGTAAATCACATAATACAGAGTCTTCTCAATCTACATTACAGATCTAATCATGTCGCTCCCCACTTAAAATCCTTCTGAGAATGTCCAAACTACTTTAGGTCCCACTCTACTTTCTAATTCTTTCCCTACTCCCCACAATTTATGAGAGGTCATAAGATCGATGCAGTTAACTCAAATTAAAGAGCCGCCTGCATACTGCAACACTCAGAGATATTTTCACTTTTACCATAGATGTGTTAGCTTCCATTTTTTCAGAAGATTAAGGCTCCCTTAGTCAAACTTGAATTTTCCCCAACTGATAAGAAGTACACATGAAACAAAGATATAAATCTACTAAATATGATTGGTGCCATCAAGATACATGCAAATGCCAATGAAATTCAGTCTTGGGGATACATATCAAACTGGAAGTAAAGGCCCCATCTAAAAGCCCACTGAATTAATTCCAAATGATTGTTGCCAACCAGGAGGCATATGGGCCTATTCCTACATTTCAAAGAAAAGCTAAAAATCTGGATTGCACAGGGCAATTTTAAAAATTAGGACTGTTTTTTTGTCTGATGGTATGCAAGGTAAGCAAAACACCACTGCAGGTTTGGTTTTGCCAACAGTCTCTTGGTTTTTAATCACCGCCAACAGAGACATTAGACAATGCGACTCTTCTTTCACATCATTCTACCTTCATTCATGCTGCATCCTGTGCCCTGAATGTTTTCTCTGCCACTTTTTCAACTAATGAACTCTTAGTCCTCTCTTCCTTAAAGATCTCAGTGGCTACCTCCTCTGAGAAATATGCCTAATTAACTCATTTCTCTGGGTATCTTCCACATACTTCTAATACTGATGACATAATATATTCATTTATGTAGCTCCCAAGTTAGATGGTGATTTCCATGAGGCAGAAACCTTATTCATAATATATGGTGTGTATACTTATGTGAATAAATTCTTCCCTTCATTTCCCCAACCTACCAGGCAGATCCATGTGGTTCCCATGGGCCAAGACACACCCAGCAAAACTCTGCTTTACAGTTCTGGTTACGACAGACCATGTGATTACAACCGCCATCCTTCTCAATTGTGACATGGCATTTGGGACACTCCTATGAAGAGAAACTATAAAGTTGGTGTCAATGCTACACTAGGTTGTATTACTACCACTGAGGAAAAGCCAGTTCCAGATTTATTTTTAAATACCATGTTTACTGTAATTAATACATGCACTTAGTACTACTGAAAATGAGCTGTTATTACTACTGGCTTTTAAGATGTACAAGTTAAGGATTTGGTTTAGTGGGGTGGGAGACAAAAACATTTTAAGTACTTTTAACCATAAACATAATAATAATAGTTTTATGGGAGACAGAAGTTTGTTCATGTATATATAAAATACTCTCCAGAGTCATCTAGAAATAGTTATTGAGTACTTTATCCCATACACTGTTCTCAGTGTTTTATATGCATTAACTCATAATCCTTACAGTGGTGCTACTCCTATTTTCATTTGTCAGATGAATAAAGGGAGAGGAAAACATTAAAAAACTAGTCCAGGGTCACACAGGTAGCAAATTGTACAGTCAGTACTCAAACCTAAATAATTTGGCCTTAAGAGTCAGGCAAAGTATAATTGGTATTAAATTCTTTTCATGCTCCTGAATTTGCCAACTTTCTTCTGCCAAATACTCTTGTTTTAAATTCTTTTCACCATGGTCCATTTACAACTGTGCTACAAATATGTTTTTTTCTAAGTCTGTATCATTTTCTTGGTTGCTAGTGAGCCAAAGTTACTACCCTGTGAGCCTACTGCTTTTTTCTTTTGAAAAATCTAGAAAATTAAACCTACTCATTATTTTTAATCAAAGTATCAATAAGATGTAAAGCTTATACTTTTGTATTTGTGTTTGATGCCTGTAACACCCATTATATTATGTGCACAATTCGGCCTTTGTGAAATAGACTACACTGCCCATAAATTACAATAATTTTAGATAGGCAATTTTTAATCGTACATTTTAAATCAAATTTTTGAAATTATTCATATAAGATATTTCATGTTTTCCCAAAGAAGCAAATTTCAGGCCTAAAAGACCTGTCTCTAAATTCTACACTTCTTGGTTATCATTAGACAAATAGTACTAAGCTCTCAACAACTGACAATCTGCACATCTGTTCAAGAAGTTAGTAACAATAGTGAATAAGAGCTTCTGAAACCTCTCAAGGGAAAACTCTTCCACTTCATCTCGAAACTGCCAAATAGATAAATCTGTTATTACAAATTGCCATTCTTCCTCAGTACCCTACCTTCTAAACAAAATAAAAAATATTTAAGCTTGTACTCCCTATTTTAAACAACATCTTGGGGCTTTCGAGTATTCAGGGATTTCTCTAGATGCAGAAAGAGGGCTACAGTTTAATCACACTACTTAGTGAAAATATAACTGCCTTATTCTAAATATTAGTTTTACAGAGCATATTCAAGGATTCTGTTTAATGAATGTTTCTAGTGAGGAAACCTTCAATTTTCAAAAAAGAATGCTCCCTTAGGAAATTTTTAAAAATAACTAAAGAAACTACTTCCTGACACTCAAGTAAGGTTTTCCTTGACTGACATCAGTTAATGAGTTATGTTTGCCTTCGAGATGTTTATTTTTAATTAAAAATAAAAAAAATTTTTTTGAGATACTATGCTTTAGGGAGCATAAAAATACTAATTTCAGCCATGCATTCCTTAAAAGTGTGGGCATTTTTGTTCTATATGACAAGACTCAATGCTTCACTGCTAATGCTTTCTGGGAGACAGAAATGCCTATTTGTTTGGATCTTTCGGGCAGAGCATAGTAGCAGTGGATTGAATTGTGCTGGCCTTCATCATTCAAGCACTGCTTGTTCTTATCACCGTCCTGCAACTGAGTGACGGAGCAGCGCAAAGCTGTAATGAACATTGGTCAAACAACTCAGTATTCTTTAAAGCATCATCTTCACATGTAAAAGACAACACTAAAAACAGCCTATGAATAACCCTATCACTTACCACCCAAAGTAACTTCCTATATGGATAGGATAACAAGACTGAATTAAATAAAGATTGACTATTTATACAATTTTCTTTTAGGAGATGGGCTGGGTACACACTTGGGATTCAAATGCTTGCTATGTAGAAGGGTGCTCAAGATTATCTGCATTTGTAAGACATCTGTCCAGCATTAATGAAGTGTTTCATGGTCAGAATGAGATTGAATTTTCAAACTAGTGTAATTAAGCAATGTACTTCAAAAAACAAAAAAGAGATATCTATGCTACACCAAAACTTCTATTTCTCAGGAGTCAACTCTCTTAATAAATCATATTTTAGAAGTTTTAACATGTTAAACAACTTGTTAAGCCCAGATCAGTTACATAATAAAAAGTGTCACTCAGTTAATCTGATTGAACACTACTCTAAAGAAAACTCCTGTAAATTAGACCTTGGGGATTTTTAATGCAGAAATGTAAATTAGCCTAATAAAACCAAGCTAGTGAAGTAAACTCTCCAATACATTAGTATACTCAAGGCAGTCAAGAACAGTATGGAAAGGCATTATTAAAGCCTGAAGCAGAAAATTATCAGCTTTTCTTCTATAGGAAACTAATGTTTTTTCCATTGAGGAAAGCTTCTAAAGCAGAGTACTGTGCACACTGTATATAGTACTCAATAAAATAAAGTCAAACACTGAAATAAAGGAAAATTATTAATAGCCAATTGTTTGGGGAAAAAACAAAACAAAAAAAACTTCAATTGAGAAAAAGGTAAGATAAGGCTCTTAACTACGTAAACTTAGTGCTTATGTCAATGCACCCATCCTTATCAGTTCCACCAGCAAGAGTTCACGGAAGGAAAATACCAACCTTTGTATTGGCGGCAATCCAATTAGAGGTCTCACTGTCATCATCACACTTTTTAATCCACTTCTTCAACCACTGTTTGAAAACAACAACTGTTAGGATACAA